ACTCCTGAGGCTGGGAATCTAGTCAGGAAAGGCCTGCCGGAAGAGATCGTCTTGACAGCTTTTTAAAAGCTGCTTAAGGTCCAGCAGGCCATTCCATAGTCTGGGAGCGGTAGCCGAGAAAGCCCTCTGGGTGGTTGCCAACAGCCTTGTTTTTGTCAGCTGCAACAAATTCCTCCCAGAGGATCGAAGTGCATGGGGCGGATTGTATGGGAGGAGGAGGTCCCGGAGATAAGTTGGACTGAATCCATTTAGGGCTTTAAAGGTTATAACCAACACCTTATACTGGGCCCAGAAACTAATAGGCAGCCAGTGGACTGACTTTAGTACAGGTGTTATATGGTCTCTCCTAGATGTACCTGAGACCAATCTGGTCTCTCCTAGATGTACCTGAGACCAATCTGGCTGCCATATTCTGAACTAACTGCAGTTTCTGGACCAAGCACGAGGGTAGCCCCATGTAGAGCGCATTACGAAAATCAAGACGAGAGGTTACCAGCACATGTACAACAGTTTCAAGGTCCCTTACTTCCAGGAAAGGGTGCAGCTGGCATATCAGCCGAAGCTGATAACAAGCTAAACTGAATAAACTGAGGAGTGAGGTTGTCATACTCTAGAACAGGGGTAGGCAACTTCAGCTCCCAGAAGCCTCAGCCATGTTGGCCAATAGTCCCATGTTGGCTAATAGCTCCTGGGATTCTGGGAGCTGAAGTCCCTCAGCCCTTAAAGGGGACAGTTTGCCTACCCCTGCTCTAGAATAAGGAAAAAGCCTTGTGAATTTACAGTACTGGCATTTGAACATGAGTACAGAAGATCCAGTTCCCTGGCAAGAAAATAAATACCAATTTTGGATATATAGGCAAAATGGATATTTTAGCAATTGGGATTCCACATACCATCTTGGACTTTTGATGCAGACATTATCATAAACGAGCAATAAACAAAAGAGAGATTCATTGGTGATACCCCTCCAGTTGCAAACCCATGTGTAGTTCTGAGTAACCATTTTCACAAGATGGATATTTTAGAGGTAGAAAGGATGCTTCACCTACAAAATTCTCTCTAACAGCTGCAGTGGTAGAATGGAAAAAAGGTCTCATGCCACTTTCTCCCTTTGTCCTTAGCTTACTTTAGTTACCACAAATGGCATTGATGAGTTCAAAGTGCAAAAGTTGTTTGCACTCCATTAACTCATCAGGGGAAGAGGAGAAGAGGGACAGAACTTTGTTCTTTTGGGAAGGTTTGGGTCAAGGCAAACACTGCAGCTTCTCCTAGCTTCTGTGTACTTCCTCACTGAGAAGACTTCCTACCTCAGCCACACTTATGTTCCCTGGCCACACATGTTCCAGTTTTCATCTGTAAAATGCTGGAGAATGTGGTGATCTTTTCAGGCAGCTAATTTTGGATATGATGAGACAGAAGCAAATTCATTGTTCCTGCTGTTGCTGCTGGTGGTCAAAAGGAAGCTATTGGCATCATCTGCTGGGCTGACCCACTTATCAAACTGGCATGGTTTATTTGTGACAGGCAGGAGTCCAAGGGGCAAGATGGTAAGTTGTGGTGGAAATGATGGATGAAGAACTGGTCTGGCTAATAGGTAAGCTAGAGGATTATGACAAGAGCTTGAGATGAGGCTTCAGTCTACATTTCAAAAGACAATCACAACTTCTGCCCCAGGTGCCATTTTTCTGAAGTGCCCACTAATGCCAACACTTTAAAAATCCCTGTTGCATAACCCAAGCAACAGCTACTGTCTACATCTGTCTCCCACTACCAGCCTTCCTTGTCCTGCTTTATATAGGAGGTCACTTCATGCTGCAACATGGCAAGGTCAACTCTGCTTGCTCTATTGTTCTGCCCATGGTGTTAGAAAGCAACCATGCAGGTTTACAGCCCCCTGGCTTTGTTTTTGTGCACAAATCCAGAAAACCCTCTCTCATGGTGGTTCTTGATGATAGTAATTACTGATGAAACTTTTGTCCATCTGTAGGTCTGAATTCATGAGGCTCATATGCTGTGAAATATTCATCTCCTGTAAAGCTAGTTTTTATTTTGTAGTAGACTGAATTTGATCTCCCACTAATTCATAGGTAACCAGTGTTGCCTTAGGTAGAGCAAGCTATTTGAACTGGAAAGGACTTATTTGTTCTGCAGAACAGAATTTGTTCTACAATTAGTGCACAGCATCAGATTAGGACACAGTTTCTCTGTTTATATGCAGAAAGTGTCCAGCCATTAGTTGGCCTTACCTTCTATGTTGTGTAAGAGGAATCACTGTTAAGCATCTCATTGCAAAAATGTACTGCTCTCTAATATAAATTGAAGAATGACATTTATCTTTTATGGCAGTAAGTTGTTATGGTAGAACCTGCTGTCCAAATATATTTTGAAAGACTATGGAAACAGGTCTGTTTTCTCTGCAATGCCTTTTCTGCCTCCTACATGAAGCAAAAGTCTCTGTGCCAAGGTCCTCTTTCATGAAGATCTGTCCACATGCAATTGGCTAACAAAATCCTTTATGCACTTTATAGATGGCAATATAGATTTGTATCCACAGAGGTATGCCTTCAACTTTCAACTTCAGAGGAGTGCACAAGAACTCATATCAAAGGGAAAATTTACAAAAAGATTCAGAGATATTCCTCCAAAGCTTACCGGTAAATGTGTTTTAATTAAAACCAGAGAAGAATCCCACTGTCTCAGGCTCCTCCAGAAAATGGACATGATTCATTGAATTGTAATGCAACAGTACAAGATTTATAGTTTTAAATATTAATTTCCATTGCAAGAACACAAGGTAGTAATTACAAGCTATATGAAAAATAATTTAAAATTGACCATAAATACCCCACAAACAAAATAGTCATTTCTTTGGGGAATGGTTGTTAACAACTCTAGAATGTTATTTTGAGGTACATTGACCCCATTCAGACAATTCCAAACAGGCAGTGCTCTCTCTCTCTCTCTCTCTCTCTCTCTCTCTGTGTGTGTGTGTGTGTGTGCATGTGTGTGTGTGTAATGAGGGCAATGCCCCCCAAGGAAGAGTTTTGCCCCTCAAATGATTTTTTTTCTTGGTGGAAAGGAAAATTGCTAGAAACCTGTGTGTGAGAGAGAACAACATAGTCACTTGTATTTCTGAACTCCTCTTGGCAATATCATCATAGGGATTGTGATGAAGAGAGCCTGCAATTCAAATGTATGACAATCTCATATGTATGATTTTCTCACTGAAGGCCAGTGATAGGTGGTTTTTTAAAGTGAAATGTTGGAAGAAGGCCAAAGAATTCACATGCACTGACTATTGATAAATGAAGATTTGAGAGAAGGGCCAGAATCTAGTATTCTAATACAAAATACCCAGCACATAACAACTCAATTATGACTACTTAAGGCTATAAAAACTAAACCACTTGTAAAATATGAGCTCATTTGCCGGTTGCTTTATTACTGTCAGTAGAATTCAGATTGAAGTCACAGAACATGCTCTCTTGTCTTGTTCATTGATACCTTACTTGTTGTCAAGGAAACCAAGGATATTAACTGTGTTTTCATCCTAGAAACCCCAAAGAGACAACACAGAGGCAGTGTAAAAAATGGCCAGAAATGCAAAAATGCAAAACAGTTTTTGCTAGAATACATAATTTTGAGACTTCTGCAGCATCATCTCCTCAGATATGTTTGGAATCTAGAGGGTGCTCATTTCAATAGGAACAATCCAGTCTTGTTTTGTGTATGTTTGCTCCTTTCTACTAAAAGCTGGGTTATCATCCAAAGAAACACTATCTATTTCTTTGTTTTAACTGCATAGCCAAACCCCATGAACAAATGTTATTCTTTCATATTATGCCTCAGAAAACTCAGGGAATATCATGTATTTTTCTAAATAATTTAGAAAAGGTACTGGCTGGACTTCAGCTTTTCACAAAACAACCGGGAACTGCTTTAAAGCATATGTGAACTTTGACTTTTATTTAAACCATTAAAATATACAAAACACCATAATATACACCCTGACTCTCAGAGTCAAATGCAATTTAATACTGTTTAAAATACTTGTGACAAGAACATGCACCACATTTTGGAGTAATGTGTCTCCCTCACTTGGTCAGTGAAACATCCCTGTCATTAAGAAAGATTTAGGAGATTATTGCATGCCTTTTTTTGCCCAATCCAGGCACAGGCCGGGCATGGGCTTTAACTGGTTAAAACGGATCTAATTGCATGCCTCCTTGCCCAACTCAGATACATCACGTACCTGATATGGACTCCTGGTGGAATTTGCAAAGAAGGGGAAAATATTGTTCTTTGCAAATACCACCAGGAGTCTGCCAGGAGTCTGGATCAGGTACACGATGCCTCCGAGTTGGGCAAGGAGGTATGTGATTAGATCTGTTTTAACCAGTTTAAGCCCGTGCCCAGCCTGTGCCTGGATTGGGTGAAAAGAGGCATGTGATCATATCCTTAGATAATTTAATTTCATTAATGATGACTGAAATAGAAATGAACTTAATCTAATAAATAATTTGCTTCCACATTAAATAATCTATGTCTCTAAGACCAGCCCTGCAGAATGCCACTATTTTTGTATGTTGTGCACAAACACACAGAACCCTTTAGCATAGAATACTTCCCAATCTCCAACTCTTTTCTGTTATCCTTGCTCCATTTTCAGGAATGTAGCTATCAGCTTCCTCCTTCACCTTTCCAGCAAAACCTCATTTTTAATGCTTTCTCTTTGTCTGGAACCTTCAAGAGAATTCTGTGGCAGCTGCCACACTGCAGAATTAATGCAATTTGACAGTGCTTTAACTGTTGTGGCTCCATCCTATGGAATTGTAGGA